AAAGCAATGCAAGCTGCTGTGGTGCCTTGGGCCTTCTTTTGGATGTTCTGGGTCTCTCTGACCCAGCTGCAGTTTATTAGATAATTATCAGATTGCAAAGGGCCAGGGCATTCATATGCAAAAGCCTCTGTGCACAGCTTGGGTGGGGCAGGGTCTCAGGAGACCAACAGGGCGGAGCAAGCAGCTATGGCTGCTCTCAGTCCTACCCTAAGAGGCCCTGCGTCTCAGTGTCCTGGTAATCGCTGCAAGCACCTCTGAGAGAAAGCCTCCCTCAAGTTCCGACCGTTGCCAGATAATCCAGTTTCTCCCCGAATGAGTCTGGGTCTCCAGAGACTCACCCGGAACTGGAGTTCAGAGCAGTCGGGAGTTTGAGACTCCCTCCCGATTGAAAAAGACAACCGTGTCCTCAGTTGCCAGCCCTTTCCATGTGCACCTCCGTACCTCTGCACTTTACTTCTGCACCTCCTCTGAGTCTCAGTGTGCTTTTCTCTTTCCTTCTAGTTGTAGAATTGCCACTCAGCCAGCCTTCCTGTGGTTCTGGATGATGTCCGTTTTGTCTTTTAGTTATATTTTTGAAGTGGTTGTGCGAGGCAGCAATTTCTGGTGTTTACCTGTGCCGCCATCTTGGTTTTTTTTTTCTCTCCCCTCTTTTTAAAGTGGGAATAAAAAGTAGCATATGTGCCCTAGCCGGTTTGGCTCATTGGTTAGAGCGTCGGCCTGTGGACTGAAGGGTCCCGGGTTCAATTCCGGCCAAGGGCACATGCCCGGGTTGCAGGCTCGATCCCCAGTAGGGGGCGTGCAGGAGGCAGCCAATGGATTCTCTCTTATCATTGATGTTTCTATCTCTCTCTCCCTCTTCCTTCCTCTCTGAAATCAATAAAGAAATATATTTTAAAAAGTAGGATATGTTCTATATATTTTTTTTAATGTGTGATACTTAAGCTGAAAAGGAAGATTACTAATACTACAAACGAGTATGTACTTTGAGCTGAATTTTGGTAAGAGCAACAAATGTATTTAGATGCATTAGTATTTTTTCACCCTATCCCAATGTGTACCTTTGGGGCTAGAAGGTCAGGCTGTGGCCTGGAAATAGAGCAAAGTTAACTAGTCCACGTGGAAATGGAACCCCAGGACGGTGGTCTCAATTAGCATCATACTTCAACCAATTGGAAGCAGTCCATCCAGACAAAGTGGCAGGTCCTAAAATACTAGAAGTCATATCAATATGGAAAATTGGTTGGTGCCAACGTAGGAATTCATGGAAGGACAAAAATAGTAAGTGGTTGTCATTTACCAGGTTAGTGTAGCTGCAATTACGCTTGTAAGGAATTGTTTGTTTATGTTAACATTTTCCTGGATTTACAACCAATGAAAAATCAAGTAATGTGTTAACATGTTTGGTGAATGTATAAACTTATTCTCTCTCAGGCCTTATATTGTGATTATAGTCTCTGATGAGCAAACACAACTCCCTTTGTATAATAATAATGTTGTTGTTATTATTATTATTATATTTGAGGTACAGAACTGGATTGCAAAAGAGTTTACAGTGCGCACAACCTCTTGTGGGAAGCTTTTTAGTATCTCAGGTGTATGGAACCACTGCTGCAACTATGTCACCTGAAGCTTCAGCTACACTGAAACTTCATTACAAAATTCACCCTCCTTTTTTCTGTTACTGCAATTTGAACATGTATTTTAACAAAAACTCAGTTCTGAAAGATTATTTTGGTGTTGCTGTACAAACAAATTTATGGCATTATTCCCTGACTTGCTTAGTTTCTGCCTATTGCTAAAGATGGCTTTGTTCGTTGACCTACCTTTAAGATTTTGGGCCCCTTATTAAATGTCTTACATTCTACCTCATTACAAAATTGTTATGTAAAGATTCTGTTATAGAATTGGTAAATTGATTAACTTTGTCATGCAGAAGATTACCTGAAGATGACTTGACAAATTTCAGGTCCCTTTGGCCATGTATAAATGGTATGGTATTTGCTGGCATATAAGACGATTTTTTGGCCCTGAAAAATATGCCTCCAAGTGGGGGGTCGTCTTATACGCCAGGTACACTTCAGATAGACTGCCCATAGTGCTTGCCCCGTGCCATAGTGGCCTCCCGATGCCCGCCCACTTCATTCCACATACCGTTCAGGCATCAGCAGCGCTG